TTCCATTTGGGGTAAAGAAGTTCGGAACTTGATAGTGATGATGGTTGCACAATATTGTGAATGTTCTGAAGTCCACTGACTTGCACACTTCAAAATAATCATAATGGTAAATATATATGTATATTTAACCATAATAAAAATAAACTTAACCTATTAAGAAAAATGTTAGATCATCACTGAGGTATACACCAATATTAAAAATGATTAGGTTTTATAAAAAAGAGTCCATAGTAGCATGTGTCAAAATTAGTATAATGAATAAATATAATATTTCAGACTATCTCCCCCACTACATCATAAATCCTTGAGTAGAGAGACTATTTTCTCAGGGTCTATAAGCAAGGTTTGGCAGTATGCAAACCTAAAATAATGTTCTGTTCATAAAAAGAAACAATTCTGTTGTGCACAGTACAATGAAATTATAATTATACAATAGGGGAAAAATTCCCAAAGGCTTCTTTCCCTTCAATTTCACTCCCCAGACATACACCTTTATCCTCTGCTTCCCTTCTGAATGCTCCAGGGGATACAATAAATACCTTATGGTTATAAGGGCTTTATGAAACACTTTGTCTTTTAAGGGTCAGCACTTGGAGCTATCCTCACTCCTTTGAGTACCAATTGTCTTAGGAAACATTAAATGCCTTTTTTTAGTTCAAACCCACTCTGATTTAAAGACTTAAAAATGTGTCCTTCAGATATGCACTTGAAGAGAATTTAGCATGTCTGCCGCCACTGAGTTGGAGATTTCCACTATTTGTCAGGCTTTAAAATCTCCTGGCTGATGTGTTTTCAATGCTACTACATGCACTGAATTCATGAATGTTATCAACTTTTAAAATGTTGCCCTTTTTACAACATTTCCATCCTACATAGAGAGAAAGAGACCCTGCTGCTAGGTCACCATTGGTGAGTGACAGCCTGTGGTTTGTTCATCTGTTTCATGGTATTTTAAATAAACCAGGATCACGGACTTTTGGATAATTCCAACTGAGTTTGATGAGCACTGATCTATATTTAAATAATCTGATTTTCTCTTGTTGTGGTCATTCTTATTTCAGCAGGTTGCCTATGCCCTTGGGTACAATTTGTGACTAGATAGTTAATCCAGACAAAATTTGAACTTAAGACATTTCCATAACCATCACTATGCCATCTTTCTTCCTCATAATGGCACAGAACAGGCTTATATTTTGAAAAATGAATTTTTATCATGACAGTTCTGATGGATCTCTGAGGGTGAGCAAAACTTTTCCTTTTCTAGTAATGCTATTTTTGTATTAAGAATCTGGATATTTGGGGTGTAGCTCCTATATTGCTAAGCAGCTCTGGGACTTGAGTTAAGTCACAACATTTCTACAGATAGATCAGATCATCTCAGAGGTCTCTTTTTCCTCCAAAAATTCTACTAAACTACTAACACATGCTGTGGCCTCGTGGCCCTTATCTCTTGGCAACATTTATACATTTTCTGCATGTTATCAACTGTGAGGCAACAAAGTTTCTATCTTTTCCCATAGAGGAGACTGACACCCACAGGGGACAATGCATTTGCCAGTTAAGCCTTTTAGTTTTTAGTTCACCCTTGGTGACTCAATATACAAGACAATCCCTCTGATCAAGTCATGACTTAGTTTTATCATTTCACACAACTCCCCAATTCACTTCTTCTCTCCCACATTAACATTGTGAAACTACTATGTTCTGACAGGTCTTGACTGCCTCCTTGATTTGGAGGAGGTTGGAATGTGTTCTTCAGGAGGCCTTCTCCCAGAGTGTCAATACTCCCCTGGCCTGCTAGCTGTGAATCAGACAACTGGCTCAGGATTTGGGCACAGGGAAGTCTGCACTGGTACAGCTTCTGTGTGTGAATTTTGGCAAATGCCAGGACTTCTCTGAGCCCCGTTGCCGTATACGTAAGATGGAAGACCTGCATATACTTCAGAGCACTGTGAATGCACATGTGTGTTCACTTTGTTTGATGTACTTCCAGTTATAGAAATAGGTAAGTTCCTTTCTCTGTGATGGCAAGAGGGCTGGCAGTTGAGTTTATAGCTGCTCTGTTCCCCAAACCTGGATGAATTCTAATTATAATAAACCGATTCTTCTTTTTCAAATGAAGGCTAGAATAAATGAATGTTTGAGCCAAGAAAGCCCCTGGAGGCTTTCAGGGACATCTGAAGCAGTCTGAGATTATCTTGTTTCCCTAGATGGTCCTCCGACTTCAGTCCTCAACCCTGCTAAGTCATAGTTTGCTTTATTCCATCTGTGTCAAAGCAGAGGATTGTCTGGTCACCTTTGCAGGCTTCTGACAATGCTCCTAAGAGGTTATGTGGGGTGTCCTTCATCATGCCTTTATATTACCCTAGTCCTGCCTCTACCATGGCCATGTACCATTCTAACAACCTGTTTCTCAATGTGTTCATTATTGCACATCCATGAATATTAATTAAGAAACATCTGTGTGGCTCGGCACCTGTAGCTTAGCGGCTAAGGTGCCAGCCACTTACACCGGAGCTGGCAGGTTCAAACCCACCCTGAGCCTGCCAAACAGCAATGACAACTACAACCAAAAAATAGCCAAGTGCTGTTGCAGGCACCTGTAGTCCCAGCTACTTGGGAGGCTGAGGCAAGAGAATCACTTAAGCCCAAGAGTTTGAGATTGCTGTGAGCTGTGATGCCATGGCACTCTACCTAGGGCGACATACTGAGACTCTGTCTCAAAAAAAAAGAAAAAAGAAAGAAATTGCTGTGTATCGGGCATTGGGCTAGGTAACACAATTTCCCATTGTGTTTACTGCTGGGTCACAGTATTCATCAATACTGACTTGAATTCATCAAGACCCAGTAGTAAACACAATGGGAAATCGTAGTGCCACAGATTTGTAATCTAGTGGAGTGGGACAGGTAGCAAACCTAAGAAATAAGTAGTGTGTTTGTTGCAAGCTGATAAGTACTGTGTCTCAGGAAAGAAAGAGAAAGGATCTGTAAGAATTTCCAATATTATGTAACACTATGAGGGAGGGGCTCCGTTAGAAGGTGGCTTTTGAAAACTGATCTGCAGTAGCTGGCAAAGGGGCACTGTGGAGATTCTATGGGAAAAGCATGGGGAGTATGGGAAACAGCAACTGCAAGTCTTGTATGAAGACAATAGGAATGTTGGACAGTGGAGTGATAGGACCACATTACTTCTTACTTTAATCCTCTGATTGCTTTTGTGGGGTAAGGGAAAATTACCCCTTTGCCTTCTCTTTTTTTTTTTTTTTTGAGACAGAGTCTCACATTGTCACCCTTGGTAGAGTGCCATGGCGTCATAGCTCACAGCAACCTCTAACTCTTGGGCTTAAACAATTCTCTTGCCTCAGCCTCCCAAGTAGCTGGGACTGCAGGCAGCCTCCACAACACCCAGCTATTTTTAGAGATGGGTTCTTGCTCTGGCTGGTCTCAAACCTATGAGCTCAGGCAATCCAACCGTCTCAGCCTCCCAGGTGTAAGCCACCACACCTGGGATTACAGATGTAAGCCACCACACCCAGCCCTCCCCTTTGCCCTCTGAAGGTTCTCTAAAAATAAGCTGACAAAAAACAGATTAATAGGACAAAAGGTGTCCAAATTTATTTGATCGTAGTTTTAGATGACATGGGAGCTTTTAGCATGAAGACTCAAAGATGCTGGGGAAACTGCCCATGTTTATACTTAGATTCTACAAAGAATGGATAGCCATGCAGAAATGTGTCTGTAAGAAGGTCATGATCTAATGCTGATAGACTGAGTGGGAAGACCTAGCAAAGCCTGTCTGTCTAGATCCTTCTTGGCTTCTCTGGGCAGCAGCCTTCCTCCTGGGTATGGAGCAGGGGGCTCTCTGGGATGGGGGTCTTATGACCTTAATTCAAATGATGTAAGTCACATGATTTCTTTACGGCCACATTTTGCACAGAAAGGAATGGAAAGTTAGAGTAATGTGTTTATTCTAACTTGATGGCTGGCTTTGGGGAAAAGGCACTCTGGTTTCTATGACTCTCCTTAAGGAAGAAGGATTCTAGTTTCTATGGTTAGGTTTGGGGGAAAATGAGGGGCCCTAGACCCAGAGGGCAGGAGGGCAGGAGAAAGTCAGGAAGAAACTTCTGCTCTGAGGATTTCATTTTGGGGATATCATTTTTTGAGCCCCAACACTTAATTGAGAATACTTGGAAAGGGAGCAAGGGAGCTTCCTGGGGAGACAACTTAGGATTCTAGATCAAAATTCAGATGATACATGATGGCAGGATGGGCCATATTGGTAGTAGGAGATGTGGTTTGAGAAGTGATAAGACTGTAGATAATTTAATGACAAAGCAAAAATGTACTGATGATTTGAGAGGGCACAATTTTGAAGCCTGTGCAGTATTCATCACATGAAACTACTCTCTAGCTGACTAACATGTCATCACTAAACATCAGAAATATTTCATTTTTATTTCATCAATCCAGAAATTGCTACTATAAGGAATGTTTCAATTAGAAAAATAAACAGTGCTAAAGATTTTGCATGACGTCCATTTTTCCCCCAGACTATGCATGTCCCTCAGGTTTTTTTTTTTTTTAATCATACATTTCAAATTGGTCTGCAGGTAGGTAATGTAGTACCATCCATGGGTGGATGCTTTTGAGAACAATGGATGCACAATTTATTTTTATTTATTTTTATTTTATTTTTGAGACAGAGTCTCACTATGTCACCCCTGGTAGAGTGCCATGGCAACACAGCTCACAGAAACCTCAAACTCTTGGACTACAGGCACCTGACACAATGTCCCGGCTATTTTGTTGTTGTTGTTGTTGTCATTGTTGTTTGGCAGGCCCCGGGAAGGGTTTGAACACGCCAGCCTGGGTGTATGTGTCTGGAGTCTTAGCCGCTAAGCTACAGGAGCTGAACCCACAATTTAATTTTAATGTTCATTATCTGGTGTAATTGCTTTATGTCTAATGCTCTGTGCCCTTCTTCCCACCCATAGGTGACCTTTTTGCCCCATCCTGATGATGGGAACAGTCAATGTAAGTTACCCAGAAGTCTTTGTGCTCCTGGGCTTCTCTGATCGACCCTTACTAGAACCCGTGCTCTTTATAGTTGTCTCAGGTTTTTATGTGGTGTCTATCTTGGGCAATGGTGTCATCATCCTGGTGTCCTGCATGGATGTGAGTCTCCACACACCTATGTACTTTTTTCTTGTCAACCTCTCCTTCCTGGACATTAGCTTTAGCACAAGCATTATCCCACAACTCCTAGTCAACCTCTGGGGACCACAGAAAACGATAAGCTATGGTGGGTGTGTGGTCCAGTTCTATATCTCCCATTGGCTGGGGGCAACTGAGTGTGTCCTGCTGGCTGTCATGTCCTATGACCGCTATGCTGCCATCTGCAGGCCACTCCACTACACTGCCATCATGCATCCAGAGCTGTGCCTTAGGCTGGCAGTCACCTCGTGGCTAGGGGGTCTGACCACCAGCATGGTGGGCTCCACACTCACCATTCTCCTACCACTGTGTGGGAACAATCGCATCGACCATTTCTTTTGTGAAATGCCCCTCATTATGCAACTGGCTTGCGTGGACACCAGCCTCAATGAGATGGAGATGTACCTGGCCAGCTTTATCTTTGTTGTCTTGCCTCTGGGGCTCATCCTGGTCTCCTACAGCCAGATTGCCCGGGCTGTGTTGAAGATCAGGTCAGCAGAAGGGAGGAGAAAGGCATTCAACACCTGCTCTTCCCACGTGGCAGTTGTGTCCCTGTTTTATGGGAGCATCATCTTCATGTATCTTCAGCCAGCCAAGAGCAACTCTCACGAGCAGGGCAAGTTCATAGCTCTCTTTTACACTGTAGTCACTCCTATGCTGAATCCACTTATTTACACGCTAAGGAATAAAGATGTGAAGAATGCTCTCAGGCATATTGTATTAGAGAACTGCTGTCGCTTTACAAGGAAATGGGGACAAACTCAAAGACTCTAGTCATTTCTGAGGAGGAAAAACAAGTTTAAATATATCAGAACTGATATTGGAGGGCAGACTACTTGGAAAGTCTTTTTAGAAATGACAATATTAGAAATTTAGAAGTAACAGAATTTTAGAAATAACAATATTATAAAATATTGTTTGAGCTCGTTAGGTGGAAATCCAACATGAGTATACTCATACACTATTTTTAGACCAACATGAGAAGAGAAAATACATTCTGTTTTTATTTTTAGCTAATTATCAAATTATTTTGTTAAATAGTGTTTACTGTTACATGTGTTGATTATCATCTTGTTTTGTTCATTATTTATATTATTATACAGGCTTGGTGCCTGTGGCTCAAGTGGCTAAGGTGGCAGGTTGGAATCCAGCCCAGGCCCGCCAAACAACAATGATGGCTGCAACCAAAAAATAGCCGGGCATTGTGGTGGGTGCCTGTGGTCCCAGCTACTTGGGAGGCTGAGGCAGGAGACTCACTTGAGCCCAGGAGTTGAAGTTGCTGTGAGCTTTGATGCCACAGCACTCTACCCAGGGGGACAGTTTGAGGCTCTGTCTCAAAAAAAAAAAGTTATTATACAGTTGCTCCTCAATATTCAAAGGGGATTGGTTCCAATAGACATCTATAAAGTCCTTTATATAAAATAGCATAATATTTGCAAATCATCTATGCAGATCCATCCATATACTTTAAATCATCCTTAGATTGCTCATAATATCTAAAAAATGAAAGGTATACTTGTTTCATTATTTTTATATTTTTTTGTATATTTTTTTCTTATTTGTGAACTACAATTAGTTGAATTCATGGATAAGGAATCCTCACATTCAAAGGAATGATTTTATACATGTGTTCTATATATGTTAATTTTCTATAATAATGCCTGTCATTGAGGATACCTAATCTATATGGAATCTTTTACCTTTTTTCTAATATTCGTAAAGACTCAGTGAGGTGGATATTATTAACCTCACAAAGTTTAGGTAATTACAGAGCTATTAGAGGTTTGAACAGAGATTTAAGCCTATATCTATCTATAGATGTGTTTATCATTTTACCTATAACCCCTTGTGGTATAATAAGAAATAACTATTTGTTCTTTGTCCCAGTTCCTGTCACCCTTGTAATTCTTGAGAGATTGGGGTAATAGGAACATCTTTTGTTATTAACAATAAGGCCATTTCAAACACACCTGAGTTTATACTAATAAGGTAATACTTGGTGGGTCCCTAGACAGCTTCAGTAAGGGAATTTGTTGCCAAAGGAACCAACCATGTGACTTTCAGTTCCACCCCTGGACTTCCAGAGAGGAGAGAGAAGCTAAAGATTGAGTTCAATTACAAAAGGTCAGTGACTTAATCAGTTGACTAGGTACCTCTAAATGATGGAGTTCAGAGAGCTTCTGGGTTGGGCAACACATCCAGGTGCCAAGAGGGTGTTGCACCCCAGACTCCACAGGGACAAAGGCTGCTATGCCCAGAGCCCTTCCAGACCTAGCCCTATGTCCTTCTTCATCTGGCTGCTCATGTATATTCCTTAATACCCTTGATAATAGACTAGTAAGCATAAGTAGAGTTCTTGAGTTCTGTGAGAAATCAAGGCAAATTATCAATCTGACAGGAACCCCTGACCTCTATCAGCAGTACAGTTGGCATCCTGGGACCTGTGACTGCCAACTGTACTGAAAACAGTCTTGTGAGACTGAACCCTAACCTGTGCAGTCTGACGCTGGCTCCAGCTAGTTAGTGTCAGAATTGAATTGAGGAGACCCAGCTGGTGTCTGGTAAGAGCTGGAGAACTTGTTGGTGTGAACATAACCTCATAGGCCTGGTAACAGAAGTGTCATGTGTAAAAATAGTTCTCCTGAAGAAAGAAGAATCTAAAGATGCAAATGCTTCATGAGTGGAACTTAGAGTTGGATTCCCAACAAATTAATGGTTTTATCAATAATGTGCTACATTAATTTATTTATAACTGCCAAACTATAGATTTTCCTAGTCAGCTCTAGGACTTCTGTTTTCAGGAAATGTAAGGATGTTTTAAATCACTCACTACTTTATTTGCTTACCTTTTTCATACGTACAAGCATGCCTTCATCATTTTTAAAATAGAACAGATTTGCTCCAGGCATGGTGGCTCATGCCTGTAATGTTAGCACTCTGGAAGGAGGATCCCTTGAACTCAGGAGTTTGAGAACAGCCTAAGCAAGAGTGAGACTCCATCTCTATTTCATTTATTTACAATATTTTGCATAGTATTCTGTAGAAGGCCTTCCCCCCCCCAAAAAAAACTCACCTCCAGAAAAACTTACTCCTCTATTCTGAGCCAAAAACATCTCAGTGTCACATTTAAACTCTCAGATTGCTCGCTTGATACTGGGAGATTTGAGTCTTGAATAAACATGCAGATATATATTGGAGTTGATAACATTTCAGACTTATTGATCATTAACTCTTTAGAACAGGTCCATTTCTAATGACAGTTAAGAATTTATAAATCTGTAGAAAATGAGAACCAATATTCCATACACATATGCATTATAAAATTAAAATGTCATTAAAAATTTATGAAACCAATAATTTACTCACATTCTACCAAAATACTATGTACTGATTCTTTTACATAATCTCTTTGTGCACGTTTGCATATTCACATGTGGGGATTACCATAGTATAGGCCTAACTTCTTATCTGTACTAATAAGAATAACATCAATCAAATAGGACACACATTGACTGTTTTATAGCTCCAGACACATTTCTACATGGCTTAATTCATTTTATTTTGACAATAAAGCTATTAGTTAGGTAGCGTCATTCTCTCTATTTTATAATTGAGGAAACTAAGGCCAAACTAGCAGAGCTTAGATGCTAGGAAGCTCAGATTTTTACACACGTAGATAGTTCCTGCTTGCTTCTTCAGTGCTTTCTTCATTAAATGACATAAAAATGGCAATACTAACATGGTCTTTGTAAACAGTGTATCATATTCCAATCAGTATATATTCTTTGGTTTCTATCAATTGTCATTAGTAAGTATTTGGGCTCTTTTTGTTTTAAATTTTGCTATTTATGTAATTTATATAGGTTTCTCTCTTTTATTGAATTATATTCTTAAAATAATCCCTGGAATTTAGGTCATTGGAACAAATGCTACAATAATTTTAATTGTCTTACATGTATCACCACGAACTATTGGGTGAAGAAAAAAAAATTGTGATGCAGCTCAATTTACTTCACAAATCTGTCCAAGAAGGAAAGAAAAAAAAAATCTTGAATTTTGCTAACTTCATCATATGTATCACAACCACCATTGGTATGTTGCGTATTTTATCAGGTTTACCTACTTGTTTTAGTTCATTTTCCACATCATATTGTATCTTCTACTCTTTTGTTTTGTTTTGTTTTGTTTTGTTTTGGAGTTTTTTTGTAGACACAGAGTCTCACTTTATCGCCCTTGGTAGAGTGCCATGGCATCACACAGCTCACAGGAACCTACAACTCCTGGGCTTAGGTGATTCTCTTGCTTCAGCCTCCTGAGTAGGTGGGACTACAGGCACCCACCACAATACCTGGCTATTTTTTGTTGCAGTACTGCCAGGGCCGGGTTTGAACCCACCACCCTCAGTATGTGGGGCTGGCGCCCTACCCACTGAGCCACAGGCGCCGCCCTGTATCTTCTACTCTTGTCTATAAGCCTTTTCAGGTATCAGACCCAGAAGCACAGAATTCCACCAATGAGTCACCACCATCACTATGAAGTAGACAAGAAATCGGTTTGGATTTGGAGCCAGGGAATCTGGGTTGATAATCAACCTTGGCTATTGGTTTGGGGCTACTATGTTAATCATGGTCTCAAGAGGATATAGATATCAAAGTAAGTAATTAGAATATTGCACTCAAGAAAGAGAAAAGGTCCTAAGATGTGGGTAGACTCTAAGAAACTATAGGGATGCTACATTAACCTGGGTTAGAACCAAAGAAACTTCCAAGAGATAGTATAGGACCTTTGGCTAGTACCAGTGGGGATCCCTATAAATACAAACATTTCTTACTCTATGATAAAAGGAGTCCAGTGTTATCATTATGCCACTATTTGTCCAGCTAGAGCCCTCAGGAATAGCACCAAGTCAGATGTGAATTTTGGTGAGGGAACAGCATAACCTTGAGCCCATTCATAGCTTTCATCTCTCCTTCCATGTTCAAATTTTCATGGACCAAGTGAGCAAGTCAGCTGGCAAAAGAGATTGACTGATTTATCTACTGGATGAATCCTCTCTTTTACCTTACTATCAAAATCTCTACAATGCCTTCTAATAGACACTGGTGTAAGACGCAGATACCTTCATGGTCAATGTACTTTTCAAGAACTTCATCTGTATACTCTTCTCCAGATTTGCCTGCTGTTTATTTTGTAGTCTTGTTCTTCACAAACCTTGACCAAAATATCAATCTGTTAGTCAATGCCCTTGAATCAGTGCATATCTAAACTTCAGTGCATATATCCTTCTATAAAAAACTAACAGCCAGTGCTGGAGTAGACACAAGAGAAATGGACACTTATACCCTGTTGCTGAGACTGCAAACTGACCTCTGTGGAAAGGAGTGTGGGATACCTCAAAGAACTTAAGTACTTACCCTTCAATCCAGCAATTCAATTTATATGTATTTACCCAAAGGAAGAAAAGATATTTTATTATGAAGACATTTGCAGTCAAATGTTTACAGCAGCACAATTCACAATTGCAAGGATGTGGAAACAACCCAAATGCCCATCAATACATGACTAAATTAATAAAATGTGGTATTTGTACTACTCAGCCATTAAAAAAATAGTGATCTAGTGTCTTTTATAATAACCTGAATGGACAAGGAGAACATTCTTCTAAGTGAAGTAACATAAGAATGAAAAACAAACTCCACATGTACTCAGTGCTAAATTGGAACTAGTCAGTGCAGTGCCTGTGGCTCAAGAGGCTGAGGCACTAGCCACACACACCTGAGCTGGCGGGTTAAAATCCAGGTGTTGTGGCAGGTGCCTATAATTCCAGCTACTTGGGAGGCTGAGG